GTAGAGTTACCCGTGGTTGGTTTTGAAAGTGGGAGCATGCTCAGGGGAAGAAAAGAGAATTCAGAGGACTTGGGCTGTAAAGCATAGCAGGGAGGGGGCTCGACGAGCAAGGCTCAGTGCACTTCACTGCGTCCCAGCATGGTTTTTGATGTGGTATGTACTGAAGCAGCTCCTCTGGATTAGGATGTAGGTGTTATGAAACAAGTTGTTGAGTTGTGATCTGTTGTCTGCATACCTGCTATCTCTGTTATGAAAAGGTTCACCAGTGGGTCAGCTGCAGTTCTGCTCTTCCTCACGTGTGCCAGGCAGGCTCGTGACGTTTTTGATATGTGTTATAAGGCTTCTTTCGGTTTCTTACAGTCTTAAAATGGGGGTATGTAATTTTAAACTGACTTATTTTGGAGTTGCCTTCTTGCTGTGTGGGCATGCTTTTGGATGTCCTCTTTTCCAGACTTCTGCTGTTTAAAGACAATACTGATACTTAGTGCATTGAAGAGTCTCTTTGGTATTTGTCTCCACTTACAATCATGTTTAGGCTTCAGTACCTTCAGGATCTTTGTAACTTTAAACGTGTTGGCCTCAATGGCTCTTAGTCTGTAATTTCTCCTTTCACATAGTCGTATGCAGGTATAGAACTTTTGATCACGTAGCTTCAGGATGGTGTATTGCAAAGATTTTACAAATTACACTGCTAACAGAATTTTTCAATGGTTTTGGGTAATTGAAAACAGTCCTGAAAAAAGTCCTCTATGTGAACAATATAATCGTAAAAAAACACAAGTCATATGAAGCCAGGACCTTTCCAATTAACATGTACTTGAGTTTTGTGTACCAGAACTATGTTTCCAGCTGGAGTTTCAGTTTTGCTTTGCAGACTGCATGCAGTATTATACTGTTGGCCAGCATTGTGCAAAATATTTAGCAATGCAAGGGTAAAATCTCAGCTCTGTCATAAGATAATGTGTTTCTCTTTTCTTTCTGTGGTCTTCTCTGTCTATCCTTTTTGCTGTCTATCCAAGTCATCGAATTTAATTTCTCTGTAATTAAAATAGGTTATGTTCTGGATCCATATGAAGGATCACTGTTCATGACTTAGGTCTATCCCCCAATTATCCATAAGACTATAGAACTTTGCAGATGTCATATTTGGGGCCACTAGCACTTTGAAAAGGTCCTTCTGGAGGTATTCACACTGTTATATCCAACATAAGTCAGAAGACTGACTGTTTTAAGCTCCTCAGAAGGGCAGTTGTGTGCACTGACGTTTGGTTCCCGTCCTGAACCATATGTATTACTGCTCTCAACCTTGTCCACAGTAGATGAAGGAAAACTGTAACAAGGAAATGGTAGCAGAGATTAGGTACTCGTGGTTTTAATATGCCCAGGGTAATCCACTGTTTTTACTGTTCAGGACGCATTCCACTTGGCTTTGGTCCCTGCTCTTGTCAGCCTGCCTTCATTCTGGGAATTTTTCTAGTCCAACAAAATTAAGAAGAGCTGTGACTTCATTTAGGGCAGAAGATTCTCAGGCTTACGGAAAGCAGGACACTGGCTCTGCAGCTCACTGAGAGCAAATTGAAGTATAAACCATTTAGTTTCCTTCCAAAGAGGACCACTTTGTGCTGGGAAGAAAGTTTCTCCTATCCCAGTTTGAATACAAGCTTTTGGGGGGTGGAAGTGTTAGGCTAAGTGCCTTTTTGTGGTTGGAAAGGATTTCTCCCTTGCTATCAGAATAGGTGGTGAGAGGCATGGAATTTTTTTGGGTTTGTGTTTGGTTTTTTCCCCCCAGTTCTCAGAGCAGGCAATAAGAACACCTTGATAGTGCTTAGTTCAGATGTTTACCCTATTTGGGATGTGTTTCCCTCATAGACTGCACTTGGAAGAGAATGAAGAGCAGAGATACCGTAAAATGCAGTTGAAGTTTCCAGTATCTCATACAAGAAGTACAGAACTACCATTTTTTCCTCCATTCATCAGACAATTAATTTCACACACTTTGGGCAAGCCTTAGTATGGGTTCTTTTTCCTTTCCCATCTCAGACATGGTGCTGCCTGCTCACCAGCAACCTTATTACCTTGAATTACAGTGCAGCATACTACTTACATTGTTGGCACACCTTATGAGTTGCAAGAGCCTTAGAAAAAGCATAAATATCCCCGGTTAGTACGAATAACATGAGTAGGGCTCTCTAGCAAGTGTTACAGTTTGCCTTGAGTACTGGACAATTTGTTGCTTGATAGTTCCAGATGAGTTATTAACACTGGACTGGATTGAACAGCCTCTGTCACTAAATACCTGCGGTGATGAGCAACCATATGACCGATGATTAGTCCAGGAGAGTTCATAGAGTGTAACCATACTCACCTTCTCATGCAAGAAGTCACGAGACACTTCTCAACATCCTACAAAAGTTTTCAGATCTTGAAGATAAAATACCAGCATACGCAAGCTAATGCTACTACTTAAAGAAGTTGTGGCTATTTAAATTGTATAGATTTGTAATAGTAAGTCTAACTAGTGCTATATAAATAATATAGCACGGTTCCCTTCTCTTTTTAATGCCTATAGAAAAGATATTTTTAAAGTTAATTTTCCAAAATTGTAGATCAGCTATAAAATCACAAGAAGTAATTAAAAGCATAGAATTCCAAAAGTAATGTTGGATTTGTAGCATTTTCAGTACTTGCAGCTGTCTTCCTAGGTAGGACAGGATTTTGCTAGATTTTCCAGGCACATCCATGCTGAGTGCCGGAAACCTGGCCATTATGGTGATGTTTTCAAATCTGGGGAATTTTGGGCTTTGGTGCTACTTCAAGAAATCTTGTGTATCACCTTCCATCCTTCAAAGCTGACAGCGTACCAGCCATTGCTAAGATATCCCTGAACTTGCTGATCTGCTGCTGCCAAAGAAATCCTCTTGTGGTCTTATATATACTGGGGCAGTTTACGGCAATTTTTCCTCAGGTCTGTCTGGGCTGTGGAGACCATCCAGGTGCTGAGCTGCCTGAGGATCATAATCTCACACTTCGCATCTGAGACTCCAACCTACTGTATCTTTCTTCATGTTTACTCTTATTAAAAGCACTCATTACGTTAAGTCTTTGCTATACCAGAGTGCTCTACTGATTTAACAGTCCCATATTTGATGCTGATATCGCTATTTATTGTATTAGAGTAGTGTGTAAAGAGCCAGTTAGGATCAGATCCCCATTGAGCCGGCTGTGGAAAAAATGAGTAGAGGTTTTACTTCTGCCCTGAAGACTTCACAGTCTAAATAGATAAGAGAGAATAGAAGAAATAGATACAAACACATAGCTGCAAAAAAGGGTAGATTTTTGCAAGTGGTGTCTAAAATGTATTTTCTTCATAGCAATTTTTTTCTCTTCCAAGTGTTCTTTTACTGGTTTTGACCGTTAGTAGATGCCTGGATTTAGAGTGAAAAATAAAATTTCTATGTTTGAGGCCATATTATCATTATACTCATTTTAATGTCTGTACAACATCAGCATCTGAGACTGCAGGAACTTAACTGCTTTACTTGTTGGCATTACACTGAAGTTGATTTCAGTGAACCATAAAAAGTTTGGCCCTGAAGGTAAAATTACACTGTATGCATGTTCCTAACATACTGCTTTGGGGATAAATATGTCTTAAATCAACTCATCGCTCACAGCTAAATTCCTTCTCCAAATGCAGTTTCCCTGTAGATAGTAATGTTCAGTAAGACTGATTTTCTTTAAAACCATAAAGTTTTTTGAGCATAATTCTATCAATAAATATATTTGAGCAGGGTAGCAAAGAATTCATGTAATCCTAATAAAGATTTTGGGTTTTTGTGAAAGGAAGGGAGGGGCACACGCCGACATTTTTAATTAGCTTTCATCAGTACCTCTAATTTGTTCAAATGTGTTCCAAACGTTTGCATATTGTGTTTGCTCACATGTACATAATGAAAACTTTTGGACTTCATTGAAACTTTATTTTGTAATTGTGCATTTGGAAAATTAAAATTGAAGTTTATGATACCCTGGCTCCTACTTGCTCAGTTCATAGTGTGTTGTTAAGATGCCATCACTTGAGAGCTTTGTTACAGCGACGTTTCTGTTGTGGCTTAATATGCTGCGGGTTCAGATGTCTGTAATTGTGGCCTTGAGGGGTTGGACTAAAGAATACCAGCTGGGTTTGTACCCAGATATTCTTGGATTAATATTTTGGGACTTAGATCTTGTCCTGTCTGGAATTTAAACATAGTTCCCCGAGCTTTAAAGGGAAGGCAAGGACCGTTTCAGGCTCTTAATGAGCACTTTTTTCCCTCTTTAATTTGCCTTTTTTTTTTCTTTTTTTTTTTTTTTTTAAACTCCTGTAGCCAGTGAAATCCAGGCAGTTACTTCTGAACTGTTTTTACAGCCCCATATGGACAAAGCGCTTTAGTTTGTTCCTCGGCTTAATTCCCAAATTAATAATAGTTAGAAAGTTCTTACATCTGCATCTCCATTTTTCTTAGAACATATAAGGGTGAAAAAAAATTTCCCTAGACATTAGGCAAGCCTTTGAAGTGTGAACAACTTTGTTACATTTGAGACAGCAAGTCTTTCGTTGCGACTAGGTTGATTTTTTTGGTTGCTCTTTGAAATAATTCCTTTTGTTTCAGGTCTAAAATTTCAATTTTATTTCTACATGGAGACAAGAGACTTAAACTCCCCCATAGTGGGGAATCAGTCAGGGTTTTTCTTCTATTTAGAAACCTTTGACCCATCCCTCCCCTGTTCAGTGAATAGAAATGGCAAGGCAACTTGTGCTGAGGGTGACTAAAGATCTGCTCTCCGTGTAGCTCATGAAGTGAACCTGCAGGGGAGAGGGTTTCAGGAGTCCTGCTTATGGAAGAAATGCTTTTAAAGTATTTCTTTGCAAAAGAGAGCCTTTCTTGTACCCCTGAGTATTATTAATTGGTTATAATTCTTAGTTTTGAGGCACATAATTACTCACACAGCAGCACGTGATGGATTCACAGGTACAGTTACAATTTCTTTGTACTGACAAGCAGCCTTTTCTGAGGGACAGAGAGGACCTTTTTGTGTAAAGCTCCAAGTTCTGTATAGTAAAGAATTCAGATAAGTGGCAAAACATACACAAATGCTTAGAAGTTCAACCAACTAGCCTTTAAGTTGTCTGCCTGGATATGTCATTACTGTAAGTGGTTTAACATCTGTTTGCATTTCTTTTTATCTTTTTTTTTTCCTTCCAGATCATTACTAAATATGTTTACGAACTACTGCAAAAAGAATGCCACTTGAAGAAAGTAACCCTCCCAGTAAGTATAATTTTTTTTTCCAGAGATGATGTTTGTTTGGATCTGTAAAAAGCAGAGCCTGCAATCCAGTATCCAGATAAAGATAAGGTGTGCCAAGGCTCTGTGCAGGGCATTGCCTTCGCATACATCATGTGCGTGCATCTGGAGACATGGTTCCACCTCGCTTCTCCTGTGTTTGATTTCTCCAGCTGAGCTTTCCTTGCCTTACCAGATACCAGAATTCTCAAAATGTGGTAGGTTTGATAGAGGAACCATAAGCTTTTTGAAAAGTATTGGTGAATGTTTTGAGACCTCTACAGCTGGATGTGAGAGAGAATGAATGTGCCTTTACAGGCAGAGGAATAAACTCAAATTGAGTTTCAGTAAACTACTCCAAGTCTTTTTTTAAAACGCACTTTTTCGGGAACTTGTAACATGTATGTAATATAAGGTGCTGTTGTTGTTTAGTGAAAATATTTGATCAACCCTTGGAAGTGATGAAGCATTCCCCAAAGAACACGTATGAGAGTGCTTGTAAATACATGTGATACCACAATGATGTTCAGGTATTTTTATGTTCTATAGCAGAGGATGTAGGGGAGACTGTAGTGCGACAGCACTGTGTAGGTTTTCCGTCACTATCATAAAAGATTCTTAGGGTCTTTGAGAAGCTTTTGCATTCCAGTTGTTCTCAGCCAGTCCTTCATATTCGAGTCGAAGAAAACCCACTCGGGCTAAGGAAGGAAAATTTCCTTTATTTTAACAGTTCTATAATGTTTCACCGTTCCCATTTCCATTCCCTAAGTGGTGTGGTTTAGGGAATGTTTTGATAACCTGCCCAAACTACTCAGGGCTTCCCAGCCAGGCTTTGCCAATGTCTCCTGGTCAGGGCAGAAGGAGCTGTGCTAGGAGCTCCACGCAGTAGTCGAAGAGCGAGCAGCAGCTCTCCTCTGCACTCCCAGTCTGCTAAACCACATAGGCTGCGCTGATGCCGCAAGACCCGAGACTGCTTGAGAAATCATTCCCCCTGCGTAGGCAGAGAAGAGGATTGGGTTCATGGTGGCACTCTGCCTGTTGCAGTGCTGGTTGTGGTCTCTGTAACTTCTTTGCACTACTAGTTTTCTTTGCTGGGGAAGTTTTGGTCCATGTTCCAGACAGGTAATGTGTTGAAAGATTTCCTCAAGCCATGTCACCCTCTCTCTGTCAAACCAAGAAGCTGTCATTTGTAAACTTTCAAGTGCCTGAATTTTGAGGCTGTACAACTTTCCTTGAATGTCCTTGTAAAAAGCAATATGCATGTAAGTAATGCAATGCTAAGGCTGATCTGTTAGCTTCAAAAAATGAAGATGAACAAACTTGGAATAAGTATTACACCACCTCCATCACCTCTGTCACAACGTGGGGACTCTTCTGCACAGCTTTGAGATTTGGGTGTCTGGCTTGGGAGGAGAATGGCCCCGTCTAACTCTCGCTGTTGAATTAATCTGTGTTTGCTCTTATTTATGAATTATGTAGTAAGCACTGATGTACTGATGTAGTTTGTCAGTAGTACATTTAAGCTATTCTCAAATGTATTACTTCCAGCTTCTGCAAAGTGTCATAATTGCATTTTGGAACAAAGTAAGAACTCACAAAATATGTGCAGCTGTTTAATTGTAAGCAGTGTGGAAAATTTGGCACAAGGTATGAGCACCATTCTTTAGTAATGACTATTACGTGTAGGAAGCCCTCACTACAGTCAAAAATAGGTTATGAAGAGAACTATGAAACAATGAGAAAATGAAGAAAATGAAAAAAATGAAACAATGTATGTAGAAGGTGAAAAATTAAATCTGTCTAAAGGCTATGTTTAAATCACTGCTGACTGACTCCCAAGTAACAACACAAAAAAAACTGGTTTAAACCAGTAAAGGAGGCTAATAGAAGCGACTCCCAAGTAACAACACAAAAAAACCTAGTTTAAACCAGTAAAGGAGGCTAATAGAAGAAATAAGACAGCTTATAGCAAAAGTAAGCCCTGTGCAAATGAGGAAAATAGAAAAGAATATAAATGCTGGCAAGTTACATATAAAATCACAGTAAGATCGCCCAAAACTGAATTTGAGGAGCTTGTTACAGCTGTAAAGTCTAATAATAAAAGAGAGCTGATGAGGCTGATAGATAAGCTGCATGCAAAAGGAATGCTCAGCTCAAATGAGAAAAACTAACATGGTTATTTCCAATGTTATTTGTCCAGTTTTTACACCAGAATATTATTACATTTTTTTAAACAGAATGTAATTCTGAGGAACTATGTGAAATTTGACATATCAGTAGAGATCTTAGAACAAATTGATATATCATACAATAATCAATTTCAGGATGAGATGGTTTTTAAGCCCAGAGTACTATAAGAAGTCAAACATGAAGCTGCAGAACAACCAACTAGTATGTTACTTACTGCTGAAATCAGCTATTTTCATCAGAGGAATGGAAAAAGAGTAAATATGATAGACTTTGAAAGGCCACCAGGACTGATTCATAGCGATTCCTGTGTACCAGGAGGAAATAATATATTGGGGGAAAAGTCAGTACAGATTTCTTTTTAAAAAACCTGCTAGAATTCATGGAAGGAGTCAGAGATCACATGAAGAAGAAAGATCTTGTCAGTAAAAGAGTATGTGCATTTCCAACGAGCTGTCAAAAAGCTTACCAAATGCTTTTTAAAAAGACACTGTCATGGCATAGGTGGAGGGAGTTCCCTTATGAGTTAATAATTGGTTAAGTAAGTTGTTACCGGTGCAGTGTTACTAAGGCCAGCACTGACACAGTTGTGAATAAAAGGAGAAAAGGAATTAGTAGAAGCTAACAAACTTGGCTGGTTTTTTTCTAACATTATTTAGAATACTTAAATCTAAAGCTGATTGTGATGAGTTGCGGAATTATTTCATGATGCTGAATGATTGGATGATAAAATGACATGAGATTCAGTTCTGGTAAATGTGAAATTATGGGGAAAATAACTCACTCTGTAAACACAATGGTGGCCTCTAAATGAGCTATTACAACTCAGGAAAGAGCTTGGAGTGATTCTGAATAGTTCTCTGAGAACATCAGTTAGTGCTCAATGGCAGTGAAAAACCCTCAAAGCAAATAGGATGTTAGGAATTATGAGGTGTTGAGAACAAAACAGAAAAACATCATCATTCCGCTCATTATGTGGGCCCCCATCTTGAACACTGCATGGAGTCTGGACACCATATCAAAAAGGATACGAAGAATTTAAAAAAAAAATACAGAGGAGGGTTACAAGGATGATCACAGGCATGAAATGCTTTTCAGACAAAGAAAGATTAGACAAAGATTCTTCAGCTTGGAAAATAGATGACTGAGGAAGGAATATGACAAATCTATAAAATCATGAAAGGTGTAGAGAAGATGAATAGGGAATGGTTTTTTGCTTTTTTCATAATAGAGAAGCTAAGGGGCATCAAGTTTAAATTATCAGGCAGGAGATCTCTACTGAAAGAGAGGCAGTACTATTTCATATACCTCCCAATTATATTGTGGAACTCATTGACACAGAATACTATCAAGGAGAAAGGTATAAATGCATTCAAAAAACCATTTGACAATACTAAGGTGGGATAGGTGCATTGAACTATTGTGCACGCTTGTCCAGTTATAAACTCTGGCTCAGGAGGCTCCAAAGTTACTGGTTGCCAAAACCAGGGAAGAATCCCTCTATAACCACTCTGTTCTCATACTGTTCCCCTAAGCAATCTGCCAGTTGTCCAGAAACAGGACCCTGGGACCTCGATCTGTCCAGGATGGCTCTTCTTATGAATATGACCTTATTATGTGAACATTTTAGAGGTGAATACAAAAACATGTTTTTTCTGAACTTCATCACAGGTGATCAGAAAGTTGGTGTATTGGCCTTCCTTTTTCTGTCAGCTGATAATAAAGTAGACAGTGTAATGATGTTTGAATATATGAAATGTGTTTCAGAACTGTGTTAAGTGGAGTACTTTTTTTTTTTCCCAACATGATTTTAGTAGTGTATGGAAATGCTATGCTTCAAAGGTTTAGGATGACAGCATTTCATGTTCTCTCATCTTTCTTAATTTCAACCTCATGTGCAAAGTCCAACTTGCTGTCTTCATTTTGCTTTCTCAGGTGGCAGCTTCAGTTTTGGACACAATTGTTTGTAAATTTCTTTTCAGATATGAAAATAAGAGCAGTTTGGAAACAGGAAAGGTCGCCCATTGCTTTATTATGACAGCATCTCTGACAAAACATAAATCTGAACATTTTTTCCTGCATAGGGAGGCTGAGATGCATATTGCATTATTGTATCTGTAAAGTACTGTAGTTTTCTCGATGTTCAACATATACTACTACTGGACTTGAAAATTTAAATGAAGAGACTCATATTCAGGGAGAAGCCATTCAATCATTTCTTTTAAATTTTGCATATTGTGCTCCATTGAAGATTATATTATGAATATAAAGAAGACTGCAATTTTTCTTATCCAGATGAAGTCTTTGTATTTCTCTAGTTTTAATGGCATAATCAGTGATTGATCTCTGCTGTTCTTTAGCTGTTGAGGACAAATAGAGGGTGCTTCTGAATTAAATGCATCTTTAACAGCTTCTGGGAAGGCCTGAGATGGAAGTTTAAATAATTACTAACACGTTTTATTGACGATGGCACTGAAAGGTCTCACATTGCAGAATCTTCTAACTTAGCAATGCTTTGCTCTTTCAGTTCAATAGGTAAAACTTCATTCAGTAGATCTCTTGATCTACTAGACAGCCAAGAATATTTTTCTTTGAGAAACAATGATCTCTTACCTCCACTGTGTGTTCCTTTTGGCTATTTTGTTACCTAAGTCCAGTCAATACTTGTTTTGTAAAAATTCTATCAGTTTTAGGTGTGTTAAGTTAGTTGTGGTAATCACCAAATGCTGATTAGCTGCATGTAGTATTGATTAGCAGTTTTCATTTTCTACAATTTTGAGTGAAAAATTATAAATCAGGATATTCAATATTGTGATGACTGTAACATAAGTGATTTAGCGAGCTTTATGTGGAACCACGTAACAGAAGACTTTCTTATCTTGAGAAGCAAATGAGCAGTTTTCTCTCTCCACCAGCTGCTCACAATTCTCACAATCTTTTTGAGTCTTTTCAGTTTCAGTTCCATTTATTTGCCATGTTGTTTCCTCCAGTCACAAGTGACACCTGTTTCACTTGTTTGTAGGCTCTAGGCTCATAATTTTTATTGCGTTTCTTAACTGGAAAAAGAAAAATATTAGTGGAGTTTTTTCCATTTAAAAATCTAACGTTCAGTCTTAAACTTAAAAACTTCCAATGTACAAAATAAAAGATGCCTAGAGCCTAGTCAGCTCTCATGCATCTTGGGTTGGTAACAGCCTTGAGTCAATGTCTATGTGGTAGCATCAATGTCAGTAAGATTAGATTTCAAATATAGTTTGATCTTACCATATACATTGACAGCAATTGTGCAAAATACTATCTATCATGCTGCTGAAGTATTCTATAGGCTGGTACTATTGTATAGGGATAGCTCATCTGAGACAGAACTCGTACAGAAAAATTAATTCACTGTTTGAAAACCTTAAGAATGTCATAATGTATGTAGAGTGTGTAACTCAGAGAGTTCACCATAACTGCATGCATTCATAAACCTTAAGGTATAGTTGCACATTGAAAAAATAAATGTGAGAAAATTAAACTTCAAACAGTACTTTTAAACAGTAAATTATCAGCAGAATTTAGATTGGTTTGACATTCCTAGCTACAGATTATCGGAAGATTGTTATTGCGTGTGAATAACAATGTTGAATCAAATTGTTAAATTAAACTAATTCAAGTTCAGCATTTTACTACATTTATTCCATTTGTGTTTAAGTAAAGGATCGGAAATAAGTGTTCGTGAGTAGGTGCAGAAGAGAAAGTGGCTAATAAATATGAATTATTTTATGCGGCCTCAGTGTGTCTCGCACTAAATGGTATTCTATGTTGATTTGTCAATAAAGTAAGGTTGTGCATAGGAGTGACCTTTATGTGCATTCTTTAATGAAAGCTTGATCTAATGAATTACTACTGTTTGAAGATAAATTAGCTTGAAAAAAAGTTTCCAAATGTGATTAATCTGAGGAAGAGAATGAAGAGTTATTTTTTATGATCTTGGTAGATATTTTTAACTTTTTTAAATCAACGTATTTGCCGAAGTGTGAACTAGCTATATCTTCTGGTACATATGATTACTAAGTGCTAGTATTTCCTAAATACTAAACAAAAATTTAGTTTATAAATACTAAAACATACAGCTAAGTTATATCTTTGTCTGAAATACAAATTCATAATGTTTTTTCTTAATTACAGTATCATAAGTATTCAGTTTATGTGCAAAAGTCATTTACATCTTGCCAAGTACTATCTGAGATTTAGTGTTGTCTGACTTTTTACCTAAGCATGTTAAATTTTAAGGTATCAATACTGCTACTTCAGAAGCAGCAAAGTGATCTGACTGTAGCCCCAGTATGGTACCTGTTGTACTTACATATTCTAAACTCTTTTCAATAGAATGTATTTTTTACCATGTTTTCTGTTTCGTCACAAAGTGTGAGAGAAGGTGAGTACATTTCCTAGTGCAGAAAGTGCAAAATGAGGCACATGAGATGTGACGTCATTTTGAAGCAGGGAATAAGGTCTTCAATGCTACGGCAGATGCGGAAGAGAGACATGACCATTGTTCCAGTTAGGAATTCCTTTTGTTCAAGTAGCCTCATTGACTTCATTAAAAAAATATTAGGTAGGACTTGCATTACAAAAAGTCTAGAGATTCATGCTGAATTAATTTTTCCTAAAGTAAGGGTAATTAAGAATACATACCCATGTATAAGAGAAAAACAGACATATTCCAAATAGCCATTCCTCCTGTCTCAACGTAAGGCTCATATCCTGACCTGCTTTTCATCGCTGTTGTGGAGCGTAAGACAATCCAGGGTTGTTCGTAGCAGCGGTACAGTTAGCCTGCGTGGGTCATGAGGTGTGGACTACAGTAGGACGGGCAGATTTGCCTCTTCTGTGCTTCCTTTTCTATGTATTCATATGGTAGAAAGGGAAGAATGAGTAGATGGGATGCTTCTTTCTGTCCTTACGGTGTTTACACCAGTACAGTTCTTTTGCCTTGAGCCAGGCTTGCTAAACCAAGTGTAGACCTGTTTTATAGAACTTCTGTTTTTATTGAACAAGAAGTGCTGCTTTACTCTCTAGAGTAAGGGCAAAACTTGGAATTAGATTATGGTTTACTGAATATCAAAGCTGGTTGTTCATCTGTTCCTGTAGCAAAGTAGCTAAGCATTGACCCAGGTGCAGGACTCTTAATGAAGCCATAATTTAGACCCAAATTGGATTTCTATATTTTATTAGGCCTATCCTATTAAATTTGTAATAGACAAATTTACAATACTGGTTCATACGTGGCTTATTGGGTATTTATGTTGAGGTGGCTGAGATAGAACTCTAGGATTTTTTTCATATTATGTAAGACTTTTATTGTTGCTTCAGGCATATCAGAGGTGACAAATTACTTGATTCCCCCCACCACCTCCCCCAGATTGTTCTTTATGGACTTTCTTTTTTGCCAGTAAGTTTCTGTAAACAGCTGATGTTTCAAAGCTTTAGCATACTTTTTACCACTTTTTTTGATTTAAATCTCCCTTGGATTACTGTTCTAAACTGTAGTATATTTTTATGTTTTGAAGTTACATTGCACAGATACTAGCTTTTGTTTTATTTTTATTTAATACTGGGCACACATTAGTCCTTACAATATGCATACAAATAGTGGCTAAATGGTGAAAGTTTTTATATCAGTTTGGTGGTAACTTTATAACTACAGATGTTCTTTTAAAAAATTTTATTGATGCATAAAAGTGCGTGTTGTCCGTAATTGCAGGTTGATGCGACTGAGAGTGAACCAAAGAGCTTTATCTTTATGAGCGAAGATGCATTAACAAATCCTGACAAGCTGTTGGTCCTAATTCACGGTAATGGCGTTGTCAGAGCCGGTCAGTGGGCTAGGAGACTTATAATTAATGAAGATCTGGACAGTGGCACGCAGATACCATATATAAAGAGAGCTACTGAGGTAAGTGAAAGTGTATGCATGTACGATTGTGTGTGCATATGCGTGTGTACCTCTGTATGCAGAGCTCTAAATCTGTGATGTTTTAATTTGTTTAACAGTGTTCAATATTTCCCTATATGATCATTTTATTTATGATTGTTTTTTTCCAGAACTTTTTTCTAATGGAACCAAGTTTCTCTCCTACAGTAAAAAAAATTTTAGTTGTATGTCATGTTGTTGTGGCAGCACTGCCATGTAGTTTAATATGGCAGCTAACGTGACAAGAGCCCTTAGCAGGCGATGAGATGCAATAGAAGGCACTACAGAAATTTGTTACTATTTGAAGTGTTTTCTTTTACATTTCATTAAATTTGTGCGTATTCTCACTCAACGTCTGTTGTAATCTCATGATAACATGAGCTTTCATGATAACAGCAGGCTTTTTTGCTAGGCTTGTACTGAATTTATTAGAGGCACAGTCTTTTTCAGTTTTGCGCTGAATACTGATTCATTCTGATTCACCTATTAATTCTTGACAGTAAAAATCATTTACATTTTATGGACACTATTTTGTTACATTTACATCTATGTGAGAGACAATGCACAATTTGTGTAATGATTTTAACATTGGAACATTGTAGGTGTAATTCATCTCTTGCATCCTGCTACCTAAATGAAACTTCCTGTAGTAAACATTAGAAAAACCTGTTTTGGAGTCACTATTTCTATTACATGTACCAAGTTAAGCTGATGTTCTACTCTAAATATCGGTGTTGTCACTGTCATTGTTACATGTTTTGCTAAATGAAGTTGAGTTTTTTGCAGCTGGCTTTACCAACTATTCAGTATAGAAAAAGGTTCTCTTCAAACATGTTTTTTGTAAATAAAGCAAAGACATTGGGCCATTTAAGTTAGTTTTGTTTTGTATAATCCACTAACGAAGCACTAGACTACACTTCGTGTGAAAAAGAAACCTAGTTTTATGAAAGTGATGCTTGCCTTCTTTTAACATAAAGTTTTTGTTCATTTTAAATCAAGACTAGGAGGCAGAACAAAAGATACTTTAGGATTATTGAATGTAATATAGGTGTATGGTAGGTCCAGTTAATTTCTTGAATGCAACTTCCAAAACCTTTCTGAAGAAACCCGAAGAGCTGTAGCTACTTAAGTTTTTGTAGCGATACTTACATGCCTGCATCTTCGTTCTTTCCTAGAGATGCTGCTGTCTTGGCTAACATGAGAGGCTGAGCATTTAAAACTGGGATACTATCCCTAAAATAACAGATAATTTTTAAGAGACTATTTCTAGTAGAGGAGAGTTATAGTTCGTTTTCCTGTTTTGTTATTTTTATTTATTTTATGCAAAGATTGTGCCAATGTGACAGAGATCAGACCTCTGTTCCCTCAAATGGTTATTATCCTTAAAAACAGATTATGCATTTTGAATGCTTCTTTAAAAAACGCAGGAAAAAAGCCCAAAGAGTTTGGTGAGAAAATGTCTTTAAAAAAATGTAATCATTCGGTCACATTAGGATATCAGACTGTTGTGGTTTAACCCCAGCCGGCAACAAAGCCCCACCCAGCCGCTCGCTCACTCCCCCCGGTGGGATGGGGGTGAGAATCGGAAAAGTAAAAGTGAGAAAACTCGTGGGCTGAGATAAAGACAGTTTAACAGGTAAAGCAAAAGCCACACACAAGCAAAGCAAACCAAGGAATCTATTCACTACTTCCCATCGTCAGGCAGGTGTTCAGCCATCCCCAGGAAAGCAGGGCTCCATCATGCTTAACGGTGACTTGGGAAGACAAACGCCATCACTCCGAACGTCCTCCCTTCCTCCTTCTTCCCCCAGCTCTATATGCTGAGCATGACCTCATATGGCATGGAATATCCCTTTGGTCAGCTGGGATCAGCTGTCCCGGCTGTGTCCCCTCCCAGCTTCTTGGGCCCCCCCAGCCTCTCGCTGGTGGGGTGGGGGGAGGAGCAGAAAAGGCCTTGACGCTGTGTAAGCACTGCTCAGCAAAAAATCCCTGGGTTATCAACACTGTTTCCAGCACAAATCCAAAACACAGCCCCATACTACCTATTGTGGAGAAAATTAACTGTATTCCGGGCAAAACCAGGACACAGACTTTGTGCTCGTATCTTTTGGCTTCCTTCTTTCTTAGCATGGTTTTTAAATTCACAGTTCTCTTTAGTCAAGTAATTCCAGGTACTGTAAAAGCCACTCTCCCTTTTTATGCATCTTAAAATCCTGGTAAATGTACTACATGTTTAGGACACATAGTATTTGCAATTTTTTTTAATGCAAAATGAAGGTTACATCATATTCAATTGCATTATATTAAAAATATTGCTGTTTTTTGTATCCTGTAATCACTGTAGTGGGAATTGGATGTATAACTGGTTAGATAAGGCAAGATTTTATGGAAGTCGAACCTCACTGAAGGTATTTGGAATCATTACGTTATGACTAAAAAGAGAATGAAGATATTACATGCTGATATCATGTCTACTTCATGTACAGATCATATAAATTACTCTTCCAAATACAGGAAATTAGGGTGGAATGAGTATAAGGACTCCAATTTTAGTTAATAATAATAAAAATTGTGTCCTTTTCTGGGTTTTCTGGTGTTCAATCCTCTAGTTGATTTAGGCACTTCTGTCTCTTATGAAATGAAAATAACTGGCCTAGACGGTAAATGGCCTGAATGAAAATTGTGGTAACTCCTCATGCAACGTTGCCAGTTTGAATTAAGGAATTATTTTCCTTGTTGTGGTTTAACCCCAGCCGGCCACTGAGGACCATGCAGCAACTCCCTCACTCT